CACTGACAAGTAAAGATGAGCCACTGGCTTTGAATTATTCTTAAAAAGACAGAAATTGGCACCCTTATGACCTTCTCAGGATAAAAACTGAAATGTTTTATCAATTTAAGCTAACAATAGCTCTAGTATTCATACTGGTTTTATTTTTAAAGGAAATCTTTTTATTTGGCTTAATTTTGTTCTTTAGATTGGCAAAATATTTATTATTATAATATACATAGTTGATTTTTTTTTTTTTTTTTTTTTTTTCCCTGAGAAAACAGTAGGGATTTTGATCAAAGACAAATGATTTTATTTCAATATTGTTGACTGTAACATTTATGTTTTCAAGGTTAATTCCAATGCAGTATTTTTAAGGAACAGAATTGAATATAGACAAAGAAGAGTCAGTGGAGAATAATCTCATATGTACACAATATATGTAGAGTGACAGTTGGGAAAAATACCCAGATAAGATTTACTGATCAGCTGTTTGCTTGAATGCAAAGTCCTTAGATACTAACCTGGGTTACTTCCTAGTACTTATTCTACTCATTAGATACAGTGATGGATTTCATTTCTTATTCTCATTGGAATTGAAAGCCTTTTTATTGCATGATGGTGTACCAATAACCTGCAGCTGTGGGGAAACAAGAAAACTCCAGGAAAACACCTTTGTATGTGACAATCAAGCCCCAGAACAGCTTTTGAGTCTTAAGAACTAAAACTAATCTAGTCATGTCAAAAGAACTGTAAATGTGTGCTGAATTTCAGTCAATATGACTGATTACCTGTCACTTATCTCTGATTTCTTCCCACTAAGCTGTCTGTGTTTTAGAAACTCTGCAGCAATGTGTATTAGCTGTTAGCTCACCTCCACTTGAGCTTCTTGAATGCTTTTGAGGCTCTGTAAGCATCAACAGTGTCATCACTCATTTCATTTTATCATCCTCATTGATGATGCTCAAACTGAAACTCCAAGCAAGTTTCAGTGTGGATAACACGGGATAACATGGGCAGGGTTGATATAGGAATTCTATATGCTTAAACTGTGTAATCATTGAGCTTAATTTCTCTAGCTTTGGATTCTTCACTATGTGTGATTGAAATTTAGTTGTGACATATTTCATAAGTTAAGCACATCAACAGATACATGATTTTTAAATTTAAAACTATTATTTAATGATTTGCTTTCCTTAAGATTTCATTTTTGACACACTGCAAAATCTTGACCATGCAATATGCATTGCCACTGGTTTTCCTATGTGTAAAAATATTCAGACATCCACACATCACTGAAATTTTGAAAGTTCAACTTCTCAGTGCAGTCAGAGAGAAGTAAAGTCTTGCTCCTTTGATACATCCCTTGTCACTCATAGAATGAATCATAGAATCACAGAATGACTTGGGTTGGAAGAGACCTTATAGAATCACTTTCAACCCCCCTGCCATGGTCAGGGTTGCCACCCTCCAACTCAAGCTGCCCAGGGCCCCATACAACCTGGTCTTGAGAGACTCCAGGAATGGAGCATCCACAACTCCTCTGGGCAGCCTGTCCAGGGCCTCACTGTCCTCTGAGTAAAGAGTTTCCTCCTAATACCTAACCTAAATCTCCCCTCTTTTAGTTTAAAACCATTCTTTCTCATCTCCCTCCTGTTTATAAGCTCCCTTGAAGTTTTGGAAGGCTTCAGTGAGGTTCCTGACCCTTCCTCTTCTCCTAGCTAAACAAGTCCAATTCCCTCAGCCTTTCTTCATAGGAAAGGTGCTCCAGTCCACTGGTAAACTTCATGGCCATTCTCTGCACCTGTTCCAATAGCTCTGTGTCTTTCTTGTGTTGATCAGGCCTGGATGCAGTACTCCAGATGGGGCAACAAACAGCAGGGAAGAGGGGACAGTCACTCTGGTGAAAATCTATTGCAGCCCAGGGTACAGTTGGCCATCCAGACTGCAAGCATACACTGCTGACTCATGTCCACTTTTTATCCACCACGATCCCCAAGTTCTTTTCCTCAGGGCTGCTCATTGCTCATCCTTTAAGAAATCCAGCAACAAAATGAAAAAAAAAAAAAAAAAAAAAAAAAAAAAAAAAAAAAAAAAGCATTAAAATAAGATTTATGCAACTAGAATAGAAGATCCATGAGAGAATCTGCAAAATTTGATAGAAATTTTTCAGCAGTTTGAAATTTTTGAGCAGTATGATCAGTGCTACATAAGTTTGTCCGAGATCCTTGTCCCATAATTTCTGGAAACTGTAGAGAACAAATTTTTCAGGACATTCATAGAATCATAGGATCATAACCACATTCAGAAGTGGAAAGCTTGTTTCAATGTATCTCTGCAGCAAATGGAGGTAGTAGTCCATATAGGGGAAATATACAATAAAAATTGCATAGTGCTTAAATATCATAGCAAGTTCACAGCACAAAGTACTGCCTTCTGGAAATAGAATATTAAGGATCTGCAAAACAATGTTTCTGGTACATTTTATGTCCAGCATGTGTAAACACTCCAAATGTCCTCTTTTCTTTACAAAGACTGTTTTCTGAAGATAAAAGGGGTTTTCATGCTATGCATTATACCCTGTTGAAATTCCTCCTTGAGCTGGCAACAATATACATTGTTTGTTCTCATTTATTTTATTCCAGAAGTATATTGTTGAAGTAGCACGATTAGTAGTTCCCATACACTATGAAAGTGCTATTGCAAGAAAAGGCTGGCAGTGTAATTACATACTGCATCTTCAGAGATCTGACTCTGGCAGAGTTGAGGATTACTTCAGAGTTTCAAATTAATCTGAATGACCCCATCTTTATTGGTGTTGAATTTCTGGAAGTGATGAAATGCCAAGTCATTGAAAATAACTGATACAGGCCTAAACAATCTGAAATGAGTAATGTAGTGTTTCTTTGATTTCATCTAAGTCCCATACGCTTTACAGCCAGGTACAATGTTTTATAGAGAAATGTTTGTTTTAATAAATCTGAGTGCTCTTCGGTTCACTAGGAATATATCAAAGACAAAGAAGGAAAATTCTAATGCTCTTACATTTTATGTTCACCAAAAATTTGTCAGTAAAGAGCATACACTGCAGCAATGACTTCTGTGATGAGCATAAGTATCTGTAAAAGACACAGGCATCATTTCTGGAATTACATGGTGAAAGTGTAACAGAGGGATTCAGGTGTAGTGAAGCCCTCTTGGGTACATTTTCTTCCACCTCTTTGAAGAAATCTCCACAGCAGACACACAGTAATAAGCGTATATGCAAATGACATTATGTCGCAATAGGATTGTCTTCTGCATACCACATTAAAATTTTGTTAGAGTCATTAAAATACAACTAAGGAATAGCTACTCAGTCTTGATAACATTGTACATCAAGGTGCTTATTTCCAGCAGCTAAAACAAGAAGACAGTGTAAATGTCCCTGCAAAGCATTACCTTAGAATAAAATGGTGAAATGATAATTACACAGTCTTTAGTAGTTCAGTCAATGAATGCTACAAAGCCACACATGATAATGTCCAAATGCAGAGCTCACAGAGGCAGACTTTGCTAACAGGGATTTTCTCAAATATATAAAGCCAGTATTGCCTTCAGATACACTTTCTAAACTAAGTTGTAGGGGGAGGAAGCAGACAAAATCATTTTTTCAGGGCAGTCCAAGAGTCAATTAGATAGGTACTCTGGTTCAAACAATTAGCTCACAGAAAAGCAAGTTTGCTCTTAGTCCAGCAATGTGAATGTCAGATTTTCCTTCACCTGGAAATACTAAGAAGCAGAAAAACTGGCACAGCATGCACTGTAAGGAGTAAACGACAAGGAGCAGCGTCTGCTGTTTAATTCAGCTGCAGGATGTGAAAGTCATCTGTCCTCCTGTCAGCAGATATACAGCTTCTCAGAACCTTGTTGTGGGACATGTGACTGAACAACTGCCAGGGGGAGATCTCTGAGATGTCCCCTCAGTGTGACCCCACTATTCACAGACGCTTGTCCTCCTGTACTCCTGAGAAAGAGATGTAGATGCCCTCCTGCCTTCTCACATGCAGGAAACAGACAGAGCCTTTGTCAGTGCTCTGCTAAGCTGATGGGGCTGCTCTAATGGAGCTGCAGGAGTGTAGCAGTGACCATAAAATATGCAGCCGACACGGCGAGGATGGTAGGCCTCTGCCCTGCACAGTACTGTGCATCTGCATGATGTCATACACTGAGGGCAGCTCCTGATGGAACTGAAGTCAGAACTGGCTCAAAGTGCTTACAGCCTTTGCTTCTTGCTATTTTTATCACTGTGACCAGCACTTTTGCAAAATTGCTCTTTCTCTGAATAACAACATTTTGTCCTCACATGTTAATAATTCCTAAAAAAGTATATGCTTTTCAGGATGTTTTTACCTTTTTCTACTAGTAGTGTTAAGTAAGCAGAAAATAAAAATGTGCAAAGCTGGAGATTTATGTTTGCCCCTGTAATTTTAGTAAGAGCGCACTCTGGTGGCCAATGGGTGAGCAAAACTTTTTATGTCCACCCTCACAAGGAGTTGTACATGTCATTCTAATACTGAGTATTACGGTAATGGGTGGAAACACTTTTTTCATTGAATTTTTCTTTTCAAGTACTTTGATATGCATAGATATGTGTTCTCAAATAAAATAAGAATTCAGATACTAAAAATTGTATTGAACATAAAAGGAAGTAAATGCTCATTGTAAACATATGCCATCTGCAAGTAGAATTAAGTTCAGTTGAGTCGATCATATGTGTAAATTACAGAAAGAGAGACAGTCAGAAAGACAGAGAGATGCTAAGACCCCTGCAGTCGCACTGTTCCAGAACAAGCAAGTAGGGGAAATTAGCATATTTGGTGGGTAACACATTGATCTATCTAATCTTTTGTATTCTCTAAATTTTGGGGATTTTGATCTCATTATTTCAACTGGATGTTTTATGTTTGTTTATTTTGTAAAGGCTCCATGTTTTTGCTACATTGTTTATCTTGAGAATGACTTTTACTACTTTCTCGCAGGTATCTTTCATTTGAAAGTGCCCGAGTCCTCTCATGTTGGTTCTGCTATTGGAAGAATCAGAGCTGTGGATCCTGACTTTGGGAAAAATGCAGAAATTGAGTACAACATAGTTCCAGGAGATGGAGGTAACTTGTTTGACATCACAACAGATGAGAACACCCAGGAAGGAGTCATCAAACTTAAAAAGGTATGTGGCAAAGAAGGGTTGTGTGTACCCATGGCTCAAGTGAGAAGCTAGGAAAGACTTATTTTATGGAAGTTTTTGCTTTATAACTGTGAGGGCAATACTGTGGTTCAGAACATTAAATGAAGAAGTGATGTTTTACATTTGGGATCATATATTTCATTTTTTATTTGTAAGCATTTTGGTTTGATTTTTTTTTTTTTTTTTTTTAACATTTTATGCTTATTATTTTAATAATAAAACTTCTGTTCATTATTTTGGTGATCAGAATTCTTAATTGGATTAGAAGAGTCCCAGAGGCTGCGGAGGTCAGGGAGCACTATCTTTGTTCTATGTAGGAGCATGAAAACAAGATAAACTTAACACATGGATTCTTCAGCAATGAGTGCCTTTATATAGATCCTAGATCTTACCCTTCACATTGTTGTTGTTGTTGTTGTTGTTGTTTGTTTTTTTCTCAAGCAGAAAGTCCCTTTCACTAATCCATAAATGGTTCAGATGCTTTAAGACATTGTGGAATCACCCAAAATCCATCCGAGTTCTGTGCTGGATCCTGAGTTAAACAAAAGCAGTCCAAATTCCTAAATTCAGGTGTCTTTTAATCTTTTCTACACTTGTAGTAATACAGACTTATTTTCATGGGTTGCTGTTTCCAGATTTTCAGAAGTGCTGGACACTCACATTTCAATAGACAACCACTAAAATTCATGCTACTGATATTGTACCTGCAGCAGCACTATTTATTTGCCTGCAAAGAAGCAATTTCAAAACACTTATTTGACCTTCTGGGATGACACAAGTACTTACATTAGGTATGTACTTAAGTAATTCTTTAAATCAGAGTCAGTGAATAAATAGGATCAACACTGTGAATTATATGTAATACTCAGTAAAAACCGTTAATAAAAAGTGTGCCTTAAAAGCAAATTAGCACTTGTTCCTGTACCACAGCATACTCCAACATTGTATGTACTGCAGTAATCCATCACTGAGCCATTTCAAGTACATCTTTGTTATTTATAAATTTTCTATATCAAAATCAAGAAAGTGGAAGCCTTCCAGCACTACGTTTACATTGGTGGAAGGAACATTTGCTGTCAAAAATTGCAGAAGCCTGATTGTTCTTTTCAGCACATTAAGTGAATTGGTGGGGACAAAAGCCATTTACTGTGTCTCGGACAATGAATGGGCATGACCAGCTAAAGATGGGCAAGGTACATGTCTTAAATCATCTGTGTTGCTAATTTATTTGCATGCCATGATCCAATATAAGTATAATTACTGCTGCTCTTGCACTATTTACATATTTTAAAATTTCAATGCATTTTATTGTCTTCTGCCAAAGAAATGATAAAAATGCCATTTAGCATCACTGTGTGGATAGTGCTGTAATTGCTTCTCCTCCTTCTTAAAAAATAAAAATAAAATTAAAAAAATCATATTTTGAACTGAAGAAGGAGGAATTGTCTGGTTTTAGGATACAAGAATCTGGCATACTAGGGATAAATGGCCAGTCTCCTTCCTTGTCTAGACCTGTCCGCTACCATGATTTTGGGTTTTATGCTTACATAATACCTGTCATCCTACCTGATTACTCAAAAAAAGACAGAGAGCGTAAGGTGAAAGAAGTGGGGAGTGAGAAGGGACTGATTCCTCTGGACCAATGTGTAGTGGGCATAGAGCAGTGCTCCCAGGTATAGGAGAAAAAGCCAGACCTAGACAAGCTCCTGGTTCCTTCTAAACTGAGATCTTTAAATGACCACATGCAGCAGGAAAAAGAAAAGAAAACAGAAGGATCCAAACTTTGCTGGACAGCTGGCACTAACTTTAATTAAACCAAGGATAAATGCACAGAAGGCTCAGCATAATCCAGAAATTGGTCAGGGTTCAAGTACTGACCCTGAGTCAGACCCTACTTTTCTAACCTGTGCAGAATGTCCTGAAAACTCAGGAGAGAGAATGTGCCTGGTCTCCTTCCAGGTTCAGTCCTGCCGTGCTGCTCTGTTTTGGGTGATATCGTGGTGTGGGTCAGTGGAAGATGAGGGCACTTCTTGGCCCATTTCTGCAAGTTGTGTGTCACTGCTAACTGGCCAGGTGACAAAGCTGTACCCCTGAATCACAGCATGTCAGGGAGGGCATGATAACTGCACAGAGTGCATGAGTGATGAGAAAATAACAGAAACTGGGGAAAGTGATGAACAGATGCAGTAGTGGCTTCTTCTTAACCTCAGAGGCCTCTTAGACTGTTAACAAATCTTTAACTGGAAGAAGCAACAAGGTGTTTGCTGAGTAAGCTGTCTCTCCCATGGGACAGAAGGTTTGTGTAGTGCTGGGATGTCATGTGAGGGCAGTCTAACTGCAGCCCTACAGTGCAGTGCTGAGCAAAGAGCAGGCTGATGATGTCCCTCAACCTGAACAGCACTGCTGCTGCTGCTTGCTGTGCTCACCCACCCTTTAATTCTGCATAAACAGACTATACCCCCTACAGTTGTGTGCACAGACTCTGCCTGCTTGTCAACATAAGTCACAGCTTCTTGTGATTGAGGAGTACAGTGGATAGTTTCACATTTTTGAAGAGAAAGTACAGGCAGAAAGTCATGCAATCGTACAGATGCAATCGTAAAGATCACAGTAGCCACAGAAAAAAAGTTAAAAACAAACAAACAAACAAAAAAAAACAGTGTAGAAGGGAGATCTTCAGATACAGCCATTGGATTTGTTTTTTCCTGGGACAATGAAAGGCAGCTACAGGAGTGGATAAGATAGGGTGATATATGGCAAAATGTAGCTTTTGGCCAAATTCTTGTACCCACTTATTCACTTAAAATACTATCTTTAACTTTGTAGTTAGCTTTTGATCATGCATGGATGGGCTAGCTTGAGTGAGAGATTAATCAGATCTTTCCTCCCTTCAGTGCTTCTAGATGGAGGCTGAAGGCAGGGCAAACACGACATAGCCTGCTGTGTGCAGTAATCCATACCTTGCTTGTTGTGATTCACAAGCTACCCCTGCTTTCTACCAAAACCTATTCACAAGTTTTGCTGTATATTTAATGCTTTACTACAAAACGTATACAGTTTATACAATCACGTTCTTGCTTTACCTTACCCTTGTCTTCTCCATGCTGTTCCATACCTACCTCATAACTTGTAAAACAAACTATTCCCTGTCTTGAAAAAAGATCACATGACATTGGCACAAAGCTTTGCATTTTCTTTTATGGAAATACAGATATGTCTTCAGATCTTTCCAGAAAAGAAAAGAAAAAAAAAAAAAAAAAAAAAAGAAGCAATGTGTAATTAATTTCCACCATGTTTGTCTGAGCTACAGATGCCCAAGGCAAACTGTGCATACCTCTCACCTGGGAGACTCATTACAAATAAAAGAATATATAGTGAAAAAATGCGTTATACATTTTCACTCGAGGCAGCCCCCTTTTTCCTTCTCCGTGCTACATATTTTTTGCAAAAATTGTTTGCCACGTGGTCATGAGTAACTGGAAGCATCTCCCTTGCCTATGTGCTATACTCCAAATATGACACTTCAACTCCTCCTCAGGCAGCAAACAGGAGAATCTCAGATGCTGGTTGACTTCTCCCCTTCTCTGCATACAAAGCACACATTTATTTTGCCCACTTTCCATCAAATCTCTGAGCATTCAAGATTTGTCCAGATCTGCAGCACTTGTTGTAGATTTGTTATAGAGATCTCTCTATAACTATTTACAAAAGCTATTTAAAATCCATTGCAGAAATACCACTACTGAAAAGTGTAAATGCGCAGCAGTGAATGATCTAATAGCCTGCATTTCACATATAACAGCTCAGCCCATTTTCAAGTGGAAAGCCTTACCAGGCTTTCTGATAGACACATGAGACAGAGTATGGAAGACAAGCCTAAGACAGCACACGCTTCATCTCAGTGCAGAAAACAGTTCTGCTGCCTGTAACTAACCATAGGTCTTGGAGTTTACAGTGTCTTTCCCAAGCTTGGCTTTTCTGTTATTGTAGTTGTAGCTCATGAATGCCTGTATAACAAACAATATTATTGTCTCCAGAAATTTTTGGAGTTTTCAGTCCTGCCTCTTTGTGAAGACTAAACTTACTAGGTAGTACTTTTTATGCCCTGGCTGTGCTTCTCATTAGAACCTATTATATTTTTGTCCCTTTTTTTTCTGTTTCAGTTCTTTAACACATCTATGTGTATATAGATCCAAGAATCAAAATGCATTAAAAGTACAAATAAAATGAGAAGTATGTATCAGCCTTTCTTCACCACCTTTCTTCACCACTATCTTCAGTACAGACAACAGTAATGTTTACAAAGAAATCTATTTTTAAACTAGAGTTTTTTCTGTGTTTTCCTAATCATACTAAATAAATCCGCCCATGGTACTTCCTGACTGGAAGATAATGTGATTTGTCTTTATGTGTTGTTTAATTTTGGGATTTGTGAAACGCGTTTGCTGCACACAGCTGTGTATACGCTGATAGCATTTTACTATGCAACTGCACAGAGCAGCTTAAAGCCATGACACAGAAAAGACAAGAATGAGTAGAGGGGGACACATACATCTATAGGACACTGGCACTTAGAATATCAAGTAAAAGTACTCCCATAGTTGCTGAGTAGTTCACAGATAGTTAAAAGCTCCCTTAGTTTTATCCATACTGCTGTTTACTCTGGGAAAAATCCTAATTTTTCTAAAATGAAAGCCTTAATCAAACAGGTGGTTTTTTTTTTGTTTTTTTTTTTTTTGTTTTTTTTGTTTTTTGTTTTTTTCCTATAATTATCTCTTATCTTAATCTTCAAGACTTTTTCAAGACTTTTTTTTTTAAGAATGGAACATTCTCCCTAACATTCTGCTGGGTTTGTATACTTAACAGCTTTCCAGACTGTAAATGAACATAGAACTGGGTACTATCTGCTAGAATTAGGTTTCAATCACTCGTTTCCTTCATAGATCTTGGTGATAATCTATTAAACAAGACATATAAATAAATGCTATTCTAACATCTTCAAAACTAAAACCCATTTTTGTTTTTCTGAGAGCTAGGCAGACTTTCAATGTTTTCTATTTTCAAAGGCAGGCTCTAAGCATAACAGACAAATGCCAAAACTTGAGACTGTCAGTATGTATATGTATGGATCAACCATGCAGAACTGGGTACAGAACTGATCAGAAGATGGCCTTCCCACAAACACAATCATTTTAAACCATACTCATTTACTGCATGCCATATGTTGCATAAAATATTTTTCAGTTTGAAATTAAATCCTGTTTACTGCTTGCAGTCTTCCCACCTTTCCACAGGCATTTCAGCTGCAGGTCAATCTTCTGTATATTAGAAGGCTATAGTCTGCTGTTTTGTGGGAGTCTGTCACTGATTACTTCCTGTGGTGATGGCTCAGCTCTTTCAGCCTGTCTCTTCTTATTTTGAGTGCCATCTGTGCTTTGAATACTGTTTAACCTCCAACTATATTTATCTGTCCATAGGAGGACAAAAGGAGAGAACTGGTTGCTTACATTACAAAGGGAAAATGTGTTTCCTTCTTGGCAAACTGTCTTTTCAAAAATGTACCACAGCATTGCCCACAGTACTTGGAAGAGATAAGTAAAGCAGAAATTGTGTCTGATTTCTAGATATTGTGCTGTAAAATATACCAAGAACTGCCTGAAATTTTCTTTCTGTCTACCCCAAGACAAGGATTGTGTTCCTTACATCATGAAAGTTGTGTACTGGGCACTGCCATGGACCAGGAACTGGTACTTCTGCCTTTAACTCTGCCTTCAAGGACCACGTGTAAATTGGTTCTTGTTACTAGCACACCTGTCTTCAAATATACTCGTGCATAAGAGGAATCTGGTTTTGTGCAGTTTGAGGGGGTATGGACAATGCATGCAGGGCATCAGTTAGAATTGCTATTTAACCGGGAGCTTAGATTTCCTGTTTACTCTATTTTAATCTTTATCTCTAGCTTAACTCCTCATAATTACTTATTTTCCACTCCAGACTGCTTCTGTGAACTCCAGGTTTTCTTCTAAAATATTTTGAATAGATATTACAATCACCTGTATAAGGATTTGTTTTGCTTGCTCATTTGGGGGGATTTTTCAGTAATATACAACAGTGAACATGAGTACTATAGAAATTGAAAGAAGACTATAACAACAATTTGGACAGTGAATCAACATGTCCACATGTCCTTTTGTAGCAAAGGCAGTAATTAGGAGATTCATCACTTGAGAATAAGACCTTCTGTGTTTTTTTGGGTTTTTTTTTTGTCTTTTTTTTTTTTGTCTTTTTTTTTTTTTTTTGTCTTTAGCTTCTTAGCCTTAGTTTCTTCTTGTAGTCATGATGCTTAAACTCATACTGGCTTTTACTGGGAATTTTATCTCTAGAAGGATGATTCCATGTGACAGTGGATTGGTCAGCAGTGTCTGGCTTTTAAGCTAGATTATTTTTAGGACGTATGTTCCAGACTGGCTAATTATAAATCCCCAACTCTGACCATGCATTCTATTAAAATTATAATGTTTTTCATAAGAATTTTAAAGCATTATGCTAGCTTCACAGCAAATGTAAATCAAAGTAACTCTACTGATTTTAATGGAGCTGCTTCAATTTACACCAACCAGGCATATGGTCAATTATGTCTTGTTGTGTTAAGGACAGAAAATGGCATAATTTAAATCTATCTCAGCTGTAACAAATAGCTGGAAACACTATGGTAATGATGTCTAGGGGAAAAAAATAATAAAAAAAATACAAATAAAAATAAAAAAGATGTTAAAGCTCCTACGCTTGTGATCCTGCCCTCTTTTCTAGATATCCTTTCACATTTCGAAAATTTCTATCTCGACAATTATAGGCAGAAGCCACTAGGTGCCAGTGTTACCCAGATGTCAGGAAAATCTTCCTTAACTAACGTTAAAAACAACATGAAAGCCAATGCAGCAAAACCCTTTAACTGAAAATAAAGCTTTTGTGTCTTTTCAACTAAATATCACTGCATTAGGGTTTCAAGATGATTACTCTTCTAAAACCAAAGATACTAAATAGATATACATTGACACAAACCTACATGAAAACAACCTGACTGAAGAATGCATTTCCATCAAAAACTCAGGTACAAAAGCTGCTACGATGCCTTCAAGGTGTTAGTAGTTATACCTCAGATCTTAAGGCAGACTAAAGTCTGCATTTTCCACATACGTGCTGATCAAATATAGCAGTTCACTGCTAAGATAAATATTTTACCGTAATTCACACTGCAAGTCTTATGTGGAAGTTGATTTGACCCATTTTTATATACCAGGGTTTTCACTTGAAATCATTTCTATTGTTGTCATGTTTTTCTTTTCCTGCTAAAAGAAGTACAAATCTTCTGTTAATGAACTAAATCATGGTTTACTGCTTGTGTGTGGAAGTTGTGAATGCTGATCTCCAACTAGCACGCACATAGCTCATTTGCAAAAGGTAAACTTCAGACAGTTAATTTCAGACATTTACAGTAACTGTTTACATCCTTGTATGTCATTCTGATTTATTTTTTTTTTAATGTGAAAAAACAGTTAAGATCAATCTAGACTATTTCAGAAACCACCTTAGCATGAGGTGTACTTTCTATTCCTCTTCAGTGACTACAAAACAAATTTAAATGATCAGTACAGAAGCCGAAGTTTACACTTGAAGACATCTTAATTTGTGACAGATTAATCCTACTAAGGTGATTTTGCAATATTTAATTTTTAGTCAGGGCTGATATTTTGCTTTTGTTCTTTCCACAGCCATTAGACTTTGAAACAAAAAAGGCATATACCTTTAAAGTAGAGGCTTCCAATCTCCATCTTGACCATCGATTTCACTCAGTGGGACCATTCAAAGACACTGCCACTGTCAAGATAAACGTGTTGGACATGGATGAGCCTCCAGTTTTCAGCAAGCCTTTGTATACAATGGAGGTGTATGAGGACACTCCCGTGGGGACAATCATAGGTGCAGTGACAGCACAAGACCTCGATGCTGGCAGCAGTTCGATTAGGTAAGAAAGCTTTTCCTCCTTCAATCACTCTCAGACAGCCCAAACTGCTGTTGACACTGGATTCGGTAGCAAAGAGCTTAATAAGAAGATAGAAATTGTTTAAAGTCTGTGACAGGGACAGGTAAATTCTGCTGGGAAAAAAAAAAAAATAATAATAAAAAAAAATAATTAAAAAAAAATTGAAAAGAAATGCTAGTTTAGGTGATTTAGCTGGAAAAATATATTAAGTGCAGGTAGTTTCTTATCATACAAGATCATACAAGTTACCATGCAGTGACATGGTTTCGTGGATTGTGTCCTGAGACTAAGGAAGTAAAAAATGTTTTGTCTGATGTCAGGAACTTACACAAAAGCTGCTCTGAACAGTGAAAAAGCAGTCTGTAGATTCCATGTCTGTGTCACCTCAACCCTTTCACAAAAAACACTCAGCCTTTACTTCCAGCAAAGAACAAATTTTAAAATAAATAATTGCTACATCTGTCTTGGCTGAGATAGTGCGGTTGTGATTGCTGACCAACATGGCTGTGCTCAGCAGTCCTTACCTGACAGCAAAACTTCCTGCTTACTGGTATAGCTTGCTTTCCTGAAATAAGAGAGAGAGAGAGAGGAGCTACTATACAAATGTAATGTATTGATTTTGCTGGCGTATTTCCAGCCTTGTTAGAAATTTTGGAGCAAACCAGGGTAGTGCACCAACAAAGAAGCTCCTGTGCAAAAATACTGTAAGGTGTAGGAAGTCATTATGCATGCTTCCAGTGCAAATCTATCTAGGTTGTACAAATTTATCCTGGATCTACTTGACTTCAGGAAATATTTTTAGTTCCAGAATGTAAAGAGCAATATTACAGATGTAATAGAAGTCTTCAACTTTTGAATATTAATGTTTATCAGATGGAACTATGATCAAACAGTAAAATGTTACTCTTGGCTATGAAGTATACAGACATTACTGCATGCATAACCATTCAAAGTATGTATTCCAAATGAAATAATTGATTACAAATCTAATTTGGGCTATTTAATATAAACCATGTTTATTAACTATATATTTTAACTCAGCATTGATATTCCTAAAATGCAAAATGCATTTTAGATTATCTGTTGTATTCCTTTGAAAAAATTTAACATGAAAGTATCCAGCTCCTGCTTCATAAAGCCACTATTAATTATTGCTTAAATATTACTAATATTGTTTGCTCCTCCTGTTTAAAAATACATCCTTAATTATTTTCTAATACAGAAAAGTCTGTGTCATACTGCTGTCCTGACAAAGAATTAAAACATTCAACAACAAAGACAATGATGGGAACCTTTTTCCCCAATGGTAGCCTAAGAAAATAGTCCCGCTGTGTCATTGAAAACAATGTTGTATCTTGAAAACAGATAGCAATCTCTGTAATCATATTGTTGAGAAGTTTTTTGTATGACAGCAGAATCATCATTCCTCAATGGAACGTTGGTTTGTTTTCTACACGACTCCCTGCTAGGAGATTCAGGTGTTTTAATTACTGATTTGCAACTACACAGGAGATATCACCATTTCAAGGTGGTTTCTCCATACATAGAGCCCAGTAATATTGAATCCTAAGCCATTCTTAGGTGTTCAGGTGACTTTTTTAATTCTGAAATAATTATTTGGGGATCCAAATTCTCATTTATGGTTAAAAGATGAGGAATATTACAAAATACTCTTGTATTCCAGCCTAACTTTTCTACTTACTGACCATGAGCACTTGCAAACTACAGAACTACTGCCAGCATTACTTACTGAATTCAGATGGTTCATGAGTGAAAGTTACGAACTATGATCTAGTATTAGAGATTTCTTAGAGGGGCCTGTTCCTATCTAGGATTAAATCTCACATTGAATTCAATGGACTTTGGAGGGAGGTACTTTGCTTTAAGGGCAGAGATTGGTTCCAGCAAGCCAGGTGACATCCAGTGAAGATTAAGCTAGAAATCTCTCAATGTGGTTTTCTTGGTCCAGCTTTTTAAGATGACTTTAATTTCTATAAATTTTCACATGTTGGTTCTGAAATCTCTTATTTAATTCTCATTTATCTGAGGATAGATTTGATTCTCCATATTGAGTTTGATCTTCTGCAGTTTGAATTCAGTGATATAAACCTTGTACTAACCCAGTACAGGTCTGATTGTGATTTTATGCCCTGGAAGAAATTGCCTATATTCAAGTGCTGACTTATCCAAGTAAAAAATTTTTACTGTTGTGTTAGTGACCAACAGTCCATGAGTTTAATATTCTTAATATATATGAAGAAATTTAATGATAAGTTAGAAAGGTATAAATTTGTTTCAAAACATTGTACGTGGTTATAATTTTGAAGCTTACCTTAAGCGATTACTCTCTTTCAGCTGTTTAAAATGTAGTTTGTCTCATAGATATAAAGAATGGATGCAACAATTTCTTCATGCTTTAGGGAGGAGTCTGAACATGTTCCAAGTAAATATACCATCTAAACAAACATGGAAAAGCAAGTGATGTTCTCTGAGGCAACAGACCATGCCATTTTCTGGGTGGCATAGTCTCTCTACAAATTAGTTCAATTTCTCTGAAATGTTTTCCTACAGCAGTTTGGCCATTAAGTTGCCCATTACAATGACAACAAAGTCAACAATCTGCCAAACAATAGATGAGGAAAAAAGACAAATCTGCACTGTATGCAACAGAAGGCAAAATTCTGGGAAATAAAGCTAACATGAAAGGAAGCAGCACAATGTAATCCATGTCTTCTGACAAAAACTTTAGCTAGACTTATCAGGAAGGGGGAGATAACAGCTAAGAGTGGAGGCTGGGTTCAGCTTTTAGAAAAAGAAAAATATTTTGCTGGAAGCCATTAAAAACATTCAGGGTTGTATACTTCACTTTTCTCCTGTAAATGGAACCAAGTTGTAAGAACAGGAATTTTAAACAAGTTTGTTTTGCTGGATTGTATTTGCTAGAGATGATAAAATGAAGGAGCAGAGCACAGAGTCATCAGTAAAAAACAGGAAACTAAGCCCAAAGAGAAAAGGGACCACAAGTACTCAACACCTGCAAGGGTGACTGGCTTTGAAGCTATTTTGGAACATTACTCCACAGCACCTGATTTTCAAACTGCATTAAATCTGGAGTTTATTTATCTCAGAAGAGCTATTTTGTCAATTTCTATTTTCTCTACAGTGCTGAAAGAAATGATCTGCGTAAATGCTAAGATTAAGTCTTAAGTACTTTGTGGACGTTAAAAATCCCAAAGCCCTTCTGAAAAGAACAATGATCTCATGCTGTTCTCAGACTCCTTGTTTACAGTAGCTGTAAATTGTCTAGGAGGGGAAAAAAAAAAAAAAAAAGTGTTGTAAAGCTCATGATAATGTGTGTTATTTATGAGTATGCAAATGTTTTAAAATTCATTACTTCTGTTGCAAGGGATGCTAGAACTTTACAAAAATCACTTCTACATGCATATGTACTTTATGGATGCTAGAGACAGGTGTCTAAACAACAACAAAGTAAAATGAATGTGAAAACAGTGTTACATGCAATACTATCTAGAATAGGAAGCTTTATCTAACATTGTATGTGAAGTTTAGCAACTTCACACTAACACCTTTGAAGTTGTCATATTTCCTAGGGTCTGATCTTCTGGCATAAGACATGAAAGGATTTTTGCTCCTGGTGTGAACCCCAGATATGACTCCAATTACAATGAGTCTAACATTCCGAGCCATAGTACTGTCGTTCAGATCTCTGCTTGACTCAGGAGCTTTGTCTTATGAACCAAGAGAACCACTCAAAGTAAGAAAGCTGTGGGAACTGTGAATTATCCTGCCCAAGTCTAGAATCATGGAACCATGATATTAAAAGATAAATAAATCATGTACTAGCCACAGGTCAATCCTTCTCTCAGTGTCTTGGGATCAAGACCGTTTTCCCAGCATGAACTTCCAAAGAAAAAGCCTTATTTATTTTCAGAACTAGTTCACTCTGGTTCAGAAATTATTATGGGTAGGGTCTGTTTTACAGTGCAATGCTTTGTCAAATAAAGACTAGAAAAATACAAATGATAAGTTTTTTCCTTAAACTGTATTTTTAATGTTCAAGCACTGGCAAGATAAAGTTACCTGTGCAACAGGATATTACTTGAATTCCTAATCCCATAGTTCTTCTGAATTGTTTGTGTGTGTATGTGCACTTTTTATATTTGCTTTTTCTTCAAAGCAATGACTCCTATTCTGTGGCATCAAATTGTTTCTCATAGCTACATATATACTTGGAAAAACTGGAAAGTTTATTTCCAGCACCTCGTACATTTAATAGCAGATTAAGCAAGAGCTATTTTTCTCTGTATAGTGTTGTGCTCAAGGGAGACACTGCCTTGTCTCCCTTTTGAGTTGGTTTTGCATAGTTAAATGATGGCAGGATTTAAGAATTTGGTTTCATTTTTATTGTCTCAAGTGAATTTACACACTGTTCTGTTGTCCTGTCTATTTCTGTCATCACTCAAGTTCTACTCCATCCATCGCCTTTATTGAAGTCCCAGTTTCCTCAACTACTTTTTAGACCTCTGCTCTAAGTTTTAATTTATTCAGTCTAACCAATTCAGATTCTTGCCACTAGTATTTCTCAGCTCCTGCTCCAGATTGCTATCATTTCTAATCTTCTTACTGTTTTCTTCTATCTTTTATGATCTATCTAATACCAGTCTCCTATTTTAGGGTTCATCTTTCTTGCACACCCGGTTTCTTTTCCTCCTGAACCACATCCTTTTTGCTTAGAGTCCCACTTTGCTGCCTTTTTTCCTTTTCCTTGTGTTAATGACAGATATGTTTTATGTTTTTTGTTTTTTTGTTTTTTGTTTTTTTTTAATTTCAGAGGATTGTTCATTTTTTCCTCTGTTCCGGATACTTCAATATTATTTCTGCATTTCTAAAAAAAAAAAAAAAAAAAAGGGTTTATTTTCCCTGTATCCTAAGGGAGATATTTGTCTGACATATGATCCTTC